TCTTTTTTTTTTAAATTAATTTTTTTCTTCTCTTGGACTGGTTCTATTTAACCCATAGCTGAGAGGTGAATAGATGGATTTATACTTTTCCCAAGATTATTTGAGCTAAAGTGAATTTAACAAACTCAGCCTGAATTCGAAGTCGGCTCGTCGATTCCTCTTTCCAAGTCGTCAATTTGCACATACATGACCTCTTGCCTGTCTATGATCCCTCAGGCTATTTAATTCCTGTTTCTATCTTCAGTTACACAAAAGATAGGAAGTTGTGGAGAAACATGATCGTTCACGTGCTGAACGGAAACGGTACATAAAAGCTGACTAAATTGATTATAATGTTTACTTTTTTCCGCATTTTAAACCAAACTTTTTTGTCTTTTCACCCAATTCAATTCAATTGATTCATTCATTTTTTACAGTTTATCAACCTTTTGCAGGTTATTTAAAGACAGAAAATATTTTTACATTTTAAGATCTTTTTAGAGATAATAATAGTTTAGTGATACTAGTCCAACTAATTAACCCAATGTCGAGGGGGGAAGAGGTGAATTCATACCATTTCCAAGGGTATTTTCGCTTAAGAGAATATAACAAACCCAACTGAAATTGAAATTCGGTTATCCGATTAACAATTCCGAGCCAATATCCATTACACCACCGCACACCCACGCTTACAGCACCTGGTATTCTCAAGGGGTCACTCATGTAGGTACTGGCCAGGCACGACATTGCTTAACTTCGGTGATCGTTCGGGAACAGATGTTTCAACGTGATGTTAGGCCAATTCAAATTTTTCGTTATTCTAATTTATTTCTATGCTTCTAAAATCTTTCTCACTAATATGGTCCCAATTCAGAAAACTCCCTCTCAGACTCTGAACTATCACCAGTCACGATGAATGGATATTCCCTCTTGGGGGCCTCGTGCCTTGAGTGACTATTGGGCCTCAAACACACCCGAGAAGTTGTTATGGAGTGATTTCACAGTGGAGGCTTGTATTTGTACTAAGTCGGTCCTAAAATAGGTTCGACGTAGAAAACGTTAGGAACTTGATATAATAGGTATAACGCAGAGTAATCTAGTTGTGGTCGCTGATACTTTAGTATTCGACTAACTGTCGTCCGACATCGACTGACTGACCGACTGACTCGTTACTCTTACTACTCCTACTTATTATAGGTGGAAGAGTCTATTAACTATAGAATAGGTGTGTTCTACTATAACAGAAGTGGAACTAGTACATAAGATACTTCAATAAAGATGATGGGAAAATGGTCAGTCCCCTGTATCGCTCCAGACTCTAGATGCTATACCTTGACAATAGCCAGATATTTCCCTGTCCAAGGGCTACGTCTCTGTGCTGGTGGTATCACGGCTACGACTCGCATGGACCGGCTCTGACAAGCCAAGACCAGCTATGACTAGCTTGGTCCAGCTCTGAGCAGCTTGGACAAGCTAAGACCAGCTTAGACCAGCGACCCGAGTGAAAACGCTCGGGTCTCCACGTTAAAAACTGACCTTGTGTCACAACCGAACTCAGTGGGTGGGGGGTCAATTATGCCTAAAATGGAGTACTGCTGTTATATCTGGGCAGGAGCTGCCCAGTCCTCGCTCTCCAGTCTCGATAGATTCCAAAAGCGTCTCCCCGTCCTTGTGGGTGGCAAATTATTTCCTACCCTGAAGCACATCTCTCACAGATGAGATGAGCTCTTTTGCTATTTCCATGGAAAGTGTTCAGACGAACTACATTTTTTGGTTCCACCAATTCTAACCTTTACGGCTAGGACCTGCCATGTTACGCACATTGCAGAGAACAATCCTTATTCCCTCCGTTATCCATTGGTGATAACTAAGTTCCACTCGAGCAGCTCCCAACCCCGCAATCCGTTGCTCTGTGGAACCGACTCCCAAGAGGATGTTTTCCTAATCACTACACTCTTAACCTGTTCAAGTCTAGAGTTAACCGTTATCTTCCTGACATATCCATATAAACTGTGTCTCTTACTCTGTAGCACTCTACCTCGAATGGCTCCCCGGATCTGTACTGAGTGAACCTCACTGTCAAAAAAAAAAAAAAAAACTCCAATGAAATCCACCAGTATGAATAAAAAAAATCAATGTCTACAACTCATAAAAGTCGACGTCACTATTTTTCATGTCTAAGATGAACGTTCTCTTTGAGCAACAATTTTTGTTCATTAATATAATGAAAGACTCGAAGAAATTGTTTCTCTTTTAGCGAAATTTCATTATCGTTAAACTTTTTACAGATCCAATTGAATTTTCGCCTTTCTCTCCTCTTCCCATTCCTCCTGACGCTAACAACTTTCCACGAACTGAAACCCATCATTATATTTTCTACTAAACAAGTAGTCAGACATTATTTCCTCTTTAGCACTCAAGCAAATTGCTTCACTTTACACCTCTTTAAAGATAGATCATTGGAAGGAAGGAAAGAAAGGATGGACGTGGGAATGATTTCGGTAGCAGGCGACAATGACATGGGCCATTAACCCAATCTTACTATTTGGCGGAATTAAGTGAGACAATAATGGTAAGGCGGAAAGATGAGGATCGATCTGTAAATAGGACAAGTGAAGTCCACAGTAGCTTCGATAATTATCCCATTATAAACGTGCTTGTGCCGTTCTTCGTTAGTTCGCACGACCGTTACGTCCTGCCAATAAATGATAGACTATTGTTTTGATCGCGTGAAAAGAGGTGGAAAAGAGTCTACTTGGTTTCAGTAGGAAAAAAAAGTGTTGTAATGTTGTCTTTGTCCAAAATAGCCAAGAATAAGGAAGGCCACAGTGGCAGAGAGTATTGAAAGAACAGAAGACTAGTTAGCAGAAACAAAGAAGAGGTTCATTACTCATACATAGAACGGAACTGAGTAGATCAAATACTACTTATATACTACGGCGAGTTTCTGAGCGTACCTTAGATGTGTCACAAGGCCGAAAATACGGTGCACCCAGTGAGGATCGAACTCACTACTCAGTCGTAAATGGTCTAGCGAAACAATCTTGCTAACCATTTCACCCTGTCAAGTGCCCCAAATCCTCCTTTAATCTGGCTACTTGCCGTATTTATACATTGGAGCAGCCCATTGCCACAGTAGTAGGTAAGGCCAGGAAGTACGCTGAGTTCTATTATACAACAGAAAGAAAGAAGTGTTTAACGGCTTTTGCCAATAGTGCGTGAAGAAAAGACTATTCTGCATCTGTCTGTATCTCTGAGATGAAGTATTAAATTATTTACATTATTCGGACTGTTAGTCTTTATTTAGAACATCTTCCCCCCTGGGACGTTTAAAAAAACAATCTGGTCTACATGGTTCATTTAAACCCGTGTCGTCTGATATCTGTAAAACACGTCTCATTGTCATTTTTAGAACACTTCTCTCCCTGGGGCCATTGTTTTCATTTAAAACCTCTCGTCTACAAACATTGGCTTCATTTAAAGACCGTGTCGTCTTCAAACTTTGTCTTTATTAAAAACTCGTCTTTTCTTCAGCCGTTGTCCTTATTTAAAACACATCTCCCCAGCGACCATTGTTTCATTTAAAACCTCTCGTCTACAAACATTGGCTTCATTTAAAACCGTGTCGTCAACCGTTGTCGTCTTCAACCGTTGTTTAAATTTTGTCACCCCAGTACCCTTTTTTAAAAAAACTCTCGACACCTTTTCTTTTAAAATCCGTGTCGTCTTCAACCGTTGTCTTTATTTAAAACACATCTCCCCAGCGACCATTGTTTTCATTTAAAACCTCTCGTCTACAAACATTGGCTTCATTTAAAACCCGTGTCGTCTTCAACCGTTGTATTTATTTAAAACACGTCTTTTCTTCAGCCGTTGTCTTTATTTAAAACACTTCTCCCCAGCGACCATTGTTTCAATTTAAAACCTGTCGTCTACAAACATTGGCTTCATTTAAAACCCGTGTCGTCTTCAACCGTTGTATTTATTTAAAAACACGTTTTCTTTTTGTCTTCATCCGTTGTCTTCATTTAAAACATCTTCTCCCTTCATTTAAAACCCATGTCGTCCAACCGTTGTTTTTATTTAAAACCGTGTTTCTTTAGCCTTTGTCTTTAAAAACCACTTTTTTCCTTTAGATGGTTTCTAAAAACCACTATAAACGATTGTATTTATGTTTGTTTTTTTGCTTTGTTTTGATATCTAGTTTGTTTTGGGGCTCACCCTTCCCTTTTCGTGATCATTCATCTGTTTATATATATATATATATATATATATATATATATATATATATATATATTTATTTGTAAAAAAATATTTATCATCTCATTGGGTTGTTTTTTTTTAACTCCCCAACTAGAGTGGATGTGGTATTATCGTGTATGGAGGATTGATTGACGACGGATGAGTTTTATGGTGAATGAGGAAATTGTAACGCATGAATGGGTCGTGAATCCGATTAGCTAGGTATAAGATAGTGAAGACCAGCCTTAACCCATTCCCCCTTTTCGTTCTTGTGCCATAATTTTATGAATTTACAATAAATCTCAACCATTGCAATGACAAAAGTACTTAGGTGTAGGCTTTAAGAATGCTTTATTCAACAGAGAAACAAGGTTAGCGTGTAATGTCCTTTTATAGTCCCAGTAAAAAGAAATAGTTCTCTCAAAGAGGAGAGTAAGAAAACGAGGGGAGACCACTCTTGATTAATCATAACAACCATGTAAGCTCGTCTAGAACGATATTTATCAAAAGTCTCTTACAGACAATTATTAGTACAGTGAGTACGGTTCTCACCGAGTACCTTTATGTTCATGTTCTTGTAACAGATTAACCTAAGTCTAGAAAAATATCAAAACTGGACGCCTGCCCTGGGGCGATGATCCGACAACTAATCTCCAACACACATTGTCGGCGAGTTTGATTCGCATGTGGTGTCCTGTTATTGTAAAGGTTATGCCTGACTCGATGAAGTTAAATTTAGTAAAAGTTTTCTCAGAAATCTTGTGAGTATTAAATGCTGTTCAATTGCGGTTTGATATTCCAGTCCGTCTTGGCTGTGGCTTCTTAACTTCGATTATCAATCAAGAGTCGATGTTTTAAATGGATCACAAACCAAGAAACGGATTCCTAAACAAAGGGAAGACGTCATCGATTTGCACTTCTGTAAACATCTTAACATCTTACGTTGCTGGATTTGAAATCTGTTGACTCAAGTGCGGGGGGGGGGACAAAAACAACAAAAATCACAAACATTGAAGAAGAAACAGCGAGAAAAGGTGTCGTAATTAATTGGTTTCAAAATAGAGTTAGCAGCGGACAGTTGAGAAGATGTATGTGTTTTTGTTTTAAATGACAGATTTCCTACTAAATAAAAAGACTTTGGTTCACATTCTGTCCTTTTTGTTTTGTTTTTGTTTTGTTTTGTTTTGTTTTTGTTTTGTTCTGCTTTGTTTTTGTTTTTTAAATTGTTTTCTGAAAACCTTTATTCGTTCGACGTTGATAATTAGCTCTGAAATGTCCAAATCTTCTTAACTAAAAGACGGTTTTAGCAAATTGTACGAGAGTGTACTGAAAAGTTCGTAGGCTGACTATGAAGGAGCGATGCTAGAGCTGTAAAAATACCGCATGGATCATTTGCAACCCTACTTATTAATAACCGCAGTGCTTATTTCCAGTTAATCTGACATCTGTCTGTTAAAAGAAGACCGTTCGTCCTGTTGGCCCCAAAAGTCATCAACAGAACCTCTTGCTTCGTACTTTAAAGTTGACTTCACTTACAGATAACCATCGGTCGATAGTAAAGGTTCTGCATGCATTTTTGCGACGGGTCCAGCTCTTTTTGAATTTAACAAGACCTCAGTTGACATATTGCTACAAATGCTGCAGTGTTTGGATCCCATTAGGGAAGGACCCTTGATCCTCTTCGTAAAAAATGTCAGCAACAGCAGATATGACATCATCATCAGTGCGACATTGGTTGGCAGCCAAGTGTTTTCTTCACGTCGAGGAACTGATGATAGCCAGATGGGGGCCAAATCAGAATAATAGGGAGGGTGGTCAACCAGTTCAAAGTCACAGTCACGATCAGCAGCCATTGAAATCAAGGACCTATCTGCTGGCGCACTGTCCTGATAAAACAAGAGTTTTCCTGGGCGTTTGGTCTTAAAAGCCCTTCGTATCTGCCTCAGTACTCTCCATTGATGGTGTGACGTTTTGAAGATAGCCAATTAACACAATACATTTTACATCCAAAAAACTGAGGCCATCACCTTCCCAGCAGACCATGGCCTTATTTGGAGCAGGCGAGGATGGGTATTTCCACTGCAGGGATTATCTATTTGTCTCTGTCTCATGAATCCAACACTCATCATGAGTGGGGAAACGTTCAAGAAAAACCAGCTGGATCTGCCTCAAACGATATCAGAATCGCCCGCGATGTTATCAGACCGCTTCGCTTTTGATCAGGTATCAGAAGACGTGACACCTGCCAATCGGATACCTTCGACGTGGCAATTCATTGTGCAGGATATTATCAACTCGCACACAGGATATGCTAATAGCATTGGCTATTTGATTTACAGCCCGTCATTAGTTATTCATGTGGTGAACACGATCAATGTTTTCCTCGGTGGCGTCAGTTGAGGACGTCCATTCCTTGACTCATATTCAAGATTCACCCTTCTTTTCTGTTATGGGACCTACGTTTATGGACTAAATGGGCTCGTCCTATTACTATATATACAGGGAGATTATGCCTCTCAAGAGAGCTGTCTACAGTTGACCTGTTGCAGCTAAACAGTCGAACTCTCTGCCTTTGGGCGGAGAGGAACCCGGACGAGGTTCCGCCGAAGGGCAGTCTCGTTCGGGGAGGTTGACTGCACCTGAACCCGTTTATGCAGGTTCAAAGAGGGATTATTTTTGGTCGAGACTACGGGCTCGGAGATCCTACGTTAAACCGGCCTTGTGTCACATGTAACCCTCGTGGGGGGGGTAACTAAATATCGCTGTCTACAGTTGAGTTGACTGCTGTACTTTGCCATCAGTCGGACGTGCAACACTTTTGTATTCGTTCTTTTTGTTTAATATGTTTTCACTAAATCGCTGAGTTAGAGTTTTCTTTCGGACCTATTCTGGGTCCACAACACTTTTCTAAATTCACATGCCCATTTTTGCGCTGGGGCGTCATCCCTTAATGTTACAACCATTTCAGCATTAATGTCCATGAGCTACTGAGTCAAGATTCGCAAATAATTGGAATCTAATGTTTCATACTAGATATAAAATAGTTACAAGTGTTTAACCACCGTTCAACCGGTGGCTGGGCATTAAAACAATTTTCTCTACCACCGTTCAACCGGGGACAAGACATTACGTCATTTTTCTCTACCACCGGTAAAGTGGTAGTCAGAGTTAAAAGAGTTATAAGTCTTCTTTGAACGGTCAGACGTCAGTTTACCTGCAAAGAAACAATGCCGTTATTAATAAGAATTGAAATAAGTTGAAATTAATGCATGCAGTATT